GATAGCCCAAGCATTAGTTTTAGCAACGGACGTAATGAGCTACATATTGCTTCGACAGCAACAAATAATCAACCAACTAGCTTGGTGGATAGTTCTCGAGCAGAAAGAGTGCGAGCAAATGCATATTAACTGAGGTTTACTTCATCTTCCTACGTCGATGTATCCATTCTTATAAACTCCTTGAAATAGAAAAGCGCCAAGGGCACCAGCACGGCTTTGTCATAAAGTAAAAAAATTCTAGAGAATAAACTCTAAAACAAAATACTACCAGGTTATTTTTCATATTCAAGTTAGTTCTACCTATTATTCAACTCCATTCAAATTAGCGGGCGTGAGCGGGAGCTCCCGATCCATCTTTCATTTTCCGATCTACAATGGAGCACAGCGACCACAACCTCTACTGTCAGCTGAAGTCCCTGAGGCTAGCACTATCTACTGGGTCTGCGCCCAGCACCAAGCTGAGTGGAAGTCGCCTGATTGTTTGCGACGGGAAAGTCATAGCACGCAACGACCACACTTGACTGGTGAATACGCCGCCAGAAGTCACCGACGTCCGACGAGAAATGCGAGTCGCCCTACAGGCAACGTTCCTGTCATAACCTAACGCTGCCTCCCGGCATGATGTGGGAGCGAACTATGGCAAGCACGCGAGAGCCGTACCCAGTCGCAATCCCAAACACCATTGTCGTCGCGATCCACCTAGAGATGCAGAATTTGTTGAGCCACGTGTGCCGGCTGAGTACCTGCACTTTGCGTAATCGATTGTGCCGCACAGTTAGTAATCTAATATGATAATTGACACACGTGGCGTTAAGGTTGACATAACACGTCTTGTCCTAAATACAGGCTCACCCTAATGGTATCAAGACGACTAATTCCAAAACCGTTACTAATACTAAGTTAGTATTATGTTAGTACCTTGTTCTAATCCCTTACTTGCCCTAATTCTTTTATTTCACCGGATTTCTTACAGACGAGTTGCCCAAATGGGTGAACCAGTTTACTGCAAGGTATCCGTGTCATACCGCAACATCTTGCAGTTTTTTTTATGGACAATTGGCGCTGTTTTAGAGCTTATTTTAGGTATATTTTTACCAGCACCTTTCTTTTCTTTTTCCATCTGTTCAGTCTGCTTCGCGTGAATGTGCGACTCTATCCTTTGCTTTCAGCTCATCTGCGCGTACTCTGAAATTCCGAGCAATGGTGTGTAACTTGCAAACTTTCAGAGCTTCTTCGCGCAGCACAACTTTGCGATCTCCTCTGGTTTACATGGTTTTTTAATGAATGGTCTTATGTTTAACTATCGCTTTTGAAAACAATTATTTTTATTTTTCTGTATACGCTAATTCCGTATAATTATCCGACAACTTTTTTTTTGAGAATCGGCAATTTTGGCTACCTTATAAATGGAGTACGCCACAATGGCCGATTCTCAAGAAAGCTGTTTCGTGGTTTAAAAAGTACTTTTCTTGTTAATCATTTGTATCGAAAAAAAGATGTCATCACTAGCGCCGCGCGTGTTCCTGGCCTTCGATGACTTCTCCCGGGCCGGCAAGCGTGCGTCCTTGTCCTCAAACTTGTGCATCGTGCTCCTCTCGATGTGGTCCTCCCACTCATATCGCTTTCTCCGTTGTAGATGTCCTGCATTTCGCTAAATTCGACGGCGCTCAAACTCTCCCCATGCCTCAGGCCGCTGTCGAAACATTGCTACCTGCAGAGTTGAGCTCCTTCGTGCAGATCTGCCAGTGGCCAAGTAACCAGGCAGTGTCCATTGCCGTAAACACGGCTGAGCTGCAGCCCACGCAGCGGTGGGAGCTGGCCGACGCTCTGATGTCCGCTCTGAGTCAGGCCGACGTGCAGGAGCTCACGATCGTGGCGGCCCTGCACTTGCCATACGCCAAGGACGGCGGCCTCAACGTGTTCTACAGCGGCCTGAATGGCCACGCACAGGAAGAAGTTAAACTGGCGCTGGCCGACCCTGTCTGGGAGGTCAAAGACCCGTGGTTGAGTGCCTTCCTACAACTGATCAAGGTGGAGCAGTGGCCACGTACCCACCTGCTGCTGGCCAAGGGATACAAGCCCGGCCGAGACCTGTCCGGCACCTATGAAGCAGTAGATGCTTTAGGCCGAGCACTGCAGCTCTTCACGAAGGACAAGGTGACAGTCGATGCTCAACAAGTGCAGCGTGAACTGCCTCGACGGCTGGCCAAGGTGAAGATCGCTTCGACTGCAAGTGATGACCACCTCACTCTGCTCTACCATTAGACTGAAGCTAGAATAGATGGAGACAACTTGTCTATCAGTTGAACGATAAGCGGAAGTGCACATTTTATCCATTTTCCGCATTGTTTTTCTCGTATTCAGGTCGGCCATTCATTGCTTTCTTTCATTGTGGGCTTCCCTTTCTTTCGTCACGCCGCAGTCACGGTCTATCTACTCCATGAGCAGCACGACCTTGCGCTTCGTTGTGCGGGCGACGGCGGCCTGCAGAGCGTCGTCGAAGTCCTCGAACTTATATGTCTGAATCCACGAGCGCAGCTTGCCGGCCTCCACGAGGCCCGCGAGCTCCGACAGCATGGCGGCACGCTCCTCGACCGTCGAGTCCTTGACCCACTGGCTCAGCCAGAAGCCCTTGAGCGTAATGTCGTGGAAGATGAGCGAGCCCGTGCCCACGGCCACGGCCTCCTTGCTCATGCCGCCGTACGTGACGTGCACGCCCTTCTTGGCCAGCGCCTTGGCCATCTCGAGGCTTGTCTTGCCGCCCACGCAGTTGAGCGCGAGCTTGGGGGCCGGCAGGTCCGAGATGAGCTCCTTGAACTTGGCAGAGCCAGCGTAGTCGGCCGTGCACACGATGTCGGCGCCCAGGCTCTTCAGGTGCTCCACCGTCACGTCATAGTCGCCGTCGTCGCGAATGATGTTGATGGTCTTGATGCCACGCAGAGCGGCCAGCTGGATGACGGCCTGGCCCACGGCGCTGTTGGCGCCGTTCTGGATCACCACGTCGCCCTTGTTGAGCGTCGTGAAGTCGGCCAGCATACGGTAGGCAGTGGCCGGGTTCACGGCCAGCGTGGCCGCGTCCTCCACCTTGATCTTGTCCGAGATCTTCATCACGTCAGCACTGTCGGCCACAGCCTTGCTACGCCACGTACCTGCTCAATACAATATTCAGTAACCATGCAATTATTACATTGTTGACGGACACTACGCACCGAAGCCGGCAGCCGTAGGGATGACGCGGTCGTTGACCTTGACGTTGGTGACGCCGGAGCCCACGGCCGTGACAACGGCCACGCCTTCATTGCCGGCCACGGCCGGGAACTTGGGCTTGATGGCGTACGCGCCCTGGATCTGGGACAGGTCGGCCACGTTAATGGGCGCAGCCAGGAACTTGAGGGCCACTTGGCCCTGCGCAGGAGCGGCCTCCTTGTCGTCCGCCTCCGTCCTGCCAATGAAGGACAATGCATTAATCAATAAAAACCTCTGGCCAAAGGGATTCTTGCGCTGGTCACAACGTACTTGAGGACGGAGAGCGGGTGGCCGAATTCCGAGTAGCGGATAGTGCTCATCGAGCGCTTGCCCTTCGCGGCGAGGCCCTTGACGACAGAGGAGATCATGGTGCGGGACTAACTAGGCTTTGACTGAGTGTGGCGTGGGGCTGTGCGGGCCGCTCGTCGATTTGACTTGACATTTGTATGAGGATTCCGATGATCCAGACCACTTACACATAGTAAGTAAAACTCTAAATAAGAATGTATGTGCTTTTTACGCATTATGAAAGGTCTCTGACCACAGCCGTAAATAAACTGTAGGCAAGAATATAAATAAATATAATGTTTTATTAGGCATTATGCGAGGTTGGTGTTGGTCGGCGCTACTTATCAGAAAGCACCCAATTAAGGGCATTTAAAGCAATAAAAGGGTCTAAAACGGGATTGAAGTTCCGTTTTAGTGTCGAAATGGCGCGTTTAAGTAGACGTTCGCAAAATGAGCCACGTTTAAGTAGACGCCTTTTCTATCACGCGAAAACTTAGTCCGAGAATTGAAATCTCCTATCAGGCGCGACAGCAGTGGTGACAGCTCGCTCGCGCTAAGTGAAGCAGATGTCGCTGCCCGTCGTTCACTGCAGCGTCAGCTAATTGCAGCAGTCGAGCAAGATAAACTGTTGGAAGGTGGCGAAGGTTTTGGAGGCGGAGGCTGACGGTCAGCCGCCATCAACGAGCTCGGAGCGAAAGAGAAGATCGAGTAGGCTGCGGGCCAAGCAGGACAAGAGCCGCGATGACCCGTCACTCTCTGCCCGCTGTGGCGCTATCTTGCGGCTGCTGCCTCGCACTGGCACGGCGCTGCCGACACTGTCTCAGGTTCTGCCAGATTGCTGCGAAGAGGTCCGAGAAGGTCATGACGGTGGTTTGTATGTTCAACTGTATCTGCCATCGTGCAGCTGACTTGAGGTTAATTGCTTGCTTGGACGCGGAGGTGCCGAAGCTCTTCAAGCTCCCAAACGTGCAAGTATAGCGTCGATTCGATGGAAGGAGAAAGGTGGACACGAGCCGATTTATGAGGTGCTGGTCACGGAGATGAGTACGCCGAGATGCAGGGCAAATAGGGCTCGACCGGGCAGAGCACTTGACCTCACCTTCGAAGTTAGACTCCAAAGAGGATACGTTCAACCTCGCTCAGCCCAAAATACGAGGAAGATCGTGAATGAGATGCAGGTCATAAAGGATGATTCAATGGTGACGGCATCATGAGTATCGTGCTTGATACAACATTTGTTAACCACGGAAGGAAATGGTCGTGACTTTCACAGATAACTGTTGCTGAAGTTGTCTGTGTCACACAGACTGTGTGGTGCTCTCTAGTCGAAGCTATTGGTATCCACACTGTGGATTACAACACTCCACAAGTACTGCTTGTTTGTTTGAAACTGCTTATCGAGTAGTTATCAATTAGCCGATCAGTTTGGGCTCAATAATGGGCTCAATAATACGTGAAAGGAAGCATTTTGCCTCTGAAGAACCAGGAAGTGTAAGAAATGCTATCAGGTTTATTTAACTTAACGGATTTTCCCGAATACAAGTCCTGTAGGAAATACAAGTCCGCTCACAAATGACAGAATCTGTTTAATAATAGAAATCCTGTATCAAATAGAAGTCCGTAGTATAGCGAACATTTTTATTTTAAATGTTCATTTTTTTTAGCGTTCACTGCCGTTGCTCGCTCATCCCCGTCCTCGGATCTTGTTCTGCTCGAGAGAGAGCTTACACGTTGAAAGTTAGTTCATTCTCAAATCAGGGCAATGACATCGAGGCGCAACTCTATCAGCATCTGGAAGAAGAAAGAGGTTATCGACTGGATCAATACAACAGGCGAAGGTGTTCCATCGCGTGCAGCGGCTCATTTTCGTTCACTTGGGTGGAACTTCGACCCCGCGACAGCTCGCCGCTGGTGGCGCCAGCGTGACGAAATTTGGGCAGCCAAGCCGACACAAATGCGAGTCGCTGGAGGGTGACGCAAGCGAGCCCTAGGCGCTCTTGAAGACTTACTACTTGAGACGATTGTTCTGCGCCGTCTAAAGAAGGAGAAGGTTACCAGAGAGTGGATTGCAGCACAAGCTTTACAGCTGTACAGCGAAGTTTCCGAAGACCAAGTCCGGTTGTTCGAAGCCTCACCGCACTGGGTTAGCGAGTTCATGAAGCGCAATGACTTATCGCTTCGTCGCCGCACCAACTTGACGACACTTACAGATGAACAGCTTATCGGTCGTGCGGTGTCATACATGCGCTATCTTAGCGAAAACAAGGGCACCTTTAATTTCCGTCACACAATTCTAATGGATGAGACGGCAGTGTACTTTGAGGACGCACGCGAACAAACCGTAGAGGTCCGGGGTGCACGACATGTGGTCGTTAAGTCGACTGGATTCTCATCGATGCGAGTGACGGCGGTACTGGCAGTTACGGCCACAGAGGTCAAGCTTCCCCCTCTCGTAATTTGGAAGCACAAGAAAGGATCTCGAACCATTCAGAAGGTTGGTGGAGTGCATGTAGCCTACCAGCCGAGGGCTTGGGTTGACTCCGAACTACTATGCAATTGGATCGATATGGTCTTTCCTAAGGTGTTGCAGGCGGAAGGAAAGACCATTGTCTGGGACTCAATGCGCGCGCACATATCACGTGTTGTAAAGGCCAAATGCAAAGACCGTAATATTGCTATGTGTGTTATTCCAGGTGGGCTGACGGCATACCTCCAAGCTGGTGATATTGGCATCTACAAGCAGTTTAAGGACATTCTGTATAACTATATCGACGAGTGGAAGAACTCTGACGCTGTAGAATACACTCGCGCCGGAAACCCGAGGCCACCGAGCGCTGAAGTCGCGTGCCAGTGGGTGCGAAAGGCCTGGAAGGACACTGATCAAGAAACTATTGACAACTCTGTTGCTGCGACCGGATTTTCTCCGATTGAATCGGAATGGTTTATTTGGCGTCACGATGTCTACGGAAGAGGATTTCAGCGCGAATGGGAGAATGAAGAAGAGAAGAAAGAGGAGAACACGGATTCAGATGTGGATGATGAGCTTGCTTATGCATTGGATGACGTCGAGCTGGTTGATGAGTAATGCGTAGTTAGGAGACGCTTAGATATCGTTTTAGTACTGAACAACCATTGATGAAAAATTTTCTTTCATTAAATACAAGCCCTTACCCGTTTACAAGTCCCCTCGTCAAAATTGATTGATTTTTAGGGGCTTATGGGGATTACAAGACCGGCTTCTATTCGGGAAAATCCGTTACTTGATCAGGTAAAGCACACAACATCCAAAGCAGCGGCCACTTAACCAACTCAAGCTCTTCAATCCGCCCCGAGCTTTCTTCGCGTCACGAAGTTTCTTGCGCGTTGCGTTGGTCGTGTCCAAACCCAGCATACTTCTGCTCCGGTGTCTGTTTAGCCAACCTGTTCTGCCTCGCAGCCTTCCTCCTCACTAAACGTGCAGCTCGCTCCTCCGGGGTTTCTTCAGCCCATCGTTCCGATGCGCGACCAAGTCGTTTAACCTTCTCTTCCTCACTCTCGGCTCTGCGCCGTTTGCAGGCGGGACGATTCACTTCGATGCGCCGGACTTTAGCATCGATCTCCTCCCTTTCAACCAGTAATGCGTCAAAAGCTCTGGCGTTATCGTGATGTCCTGGGTCAAGCTCTTTGTCGCCTCCAGCAGCCTTCCCGCGCTGCTCCGGTTCGCCGTTAGCGATCCTTTCACACGCTGGTATTCCTGATAGATCTTCCGAAGCCGGCGTTCGGGTTTGCCAAGACAGAGCTGTCGAAGAACACCGCGCATTTCGAAATGCTAAAGGAGATCTACAAACAAGCCCTGATGGGCGTGTCAGCGGAGCGGTAGCTCTCCACAGTTCACATGGACAGCACACTGCGTTCATATTCTTCACCTAGAAATTCCAGGACCTCCCAGACATCGTTGACACTTGGGACGACAGGCATCGTCGGCAAACGAGCGAGAATGATGTCGCTGAGGTTTTATACTGCGTAGCGAGTTCAATCACGGCCCTGACACTGGAACAGGCCAAGCTCCAGGCTGTGTTCAACGGACGGGAAGTAGGTCCGAACAGTGATACCAGCGAACGAGGGGGCACGCCGAATACGCCCAGACACCCGCAATGACCTTGCATGGCAACCGAGACCCAAGCTGCCGTCAGGAGCACGTGTTCTAGCGTCTTCTTCCAATACTCTAACCAGCTTACCCAGAAGGTTTACTTGCGCGAAAGTCTGGCGGCAAGGGCAAGAACTCAACGCGTAGTTTGCCGTCGCTGTTGGAGCTCAACGAGGGCATGGACGACGAAGTGGATGACATGGTGCAAGACCCCCCAGGCTGCGGACAAAGCTACGTGCTGCAGCATCTGCGAATGTTCGCCGCGTTCTGAGTCAAATATCCGTGTAATCTGCGCGCAGAAGATCTGCTCGTGCCTTGGATGCCACTCTTGGCCGGTTACGCTGCGTGTAAATAAGAAGCGTCATCGACGTCGCACCAGCGGGCAGCAATCGTCTCTATCGTACACCATTGTGGACAGTAAGAACCATGCTGTCGATTCTTCCGCTCCCAGGACGACGCCTCATACGTCTCAGATCGACGATCTTGAAGTAACTTTGATCGGACAGAACCATAAGGAGAAAGGATTCATGCTGAGCTCTTGTCTGCTTAAGTAACTTCGTCACTTAAATAAACTGTAAACAAGAATACAAGCTTTTCAATAGGCTTGATTAAAAGGCTGAGCATTTTACGTAAATACCCGTAATAAGTCCGTAAAAAGTCCGACGCCTGTGCTCCAGCCAAAACCTACGTGAACCAAAGGTTCATTGTGTTTCTTGCCAAGCAGAAAGCAAGTGGTAATGAGTGTGAGATGTCGACCTTGTTCCCAATGATTATTTTAAAGTTTGAGATCCGTCAATTAGGCCTGGGGGGTCATCGATGCTCTTCGGGACGCGGTGCTCGGGCCGATACTGTGGACGATTTTCATGTTGACGGGAACTATCAATCGTACATGTAGTGATAGCGTTTTGCATCGCTTTCTCAATGATCAACTGATATTTAATCTTTGAGACCTGAACTCTACCATGTTGTCAACATGCATTACTGAGAGAAAGCGTCCATTGCGTTTATTTTAGATAAGAGCTCTAGTAGATCATGCTGCGTCTAGCGTGCTCGTCCTTCCTCCTCGTTTGCCTCTTAGTTGGCGACGTCAAAGGTCGAGGATGTGCTAAGGGAGATACCACAGTTGGCTCTGGAGCTGGTAGCACAGTCTTCTTGATCTTAACTGCTTTCTTGGACTTCAGGCTCTTTTTCGGAGACTTTGTCACTGGAGAATCCGGAGGAAAAAGCTCTTCCAGCACATTCCGCTTCTCACGAGTCCAGTGTGTAAGATCGCAACGAAGTTGAGTAAGTTTCTGATGTGGCGGGTTGTGAAACAGCAGAGATTCCTGCAACGCATTCATGGTTCCGCTCATATACTGTACTCGTAGTTGACTCAAGTCTTCCTCTTCGAAGACAAGCAACTCGACGAGCGTTTGCGTCCGAACAGTGACGGGGGAGTGTTGACCTGGTTGCAACACGCTCAGTTCACCAAAAAGTTGGCCACTTGCAAGTACAGCAACTGTAACTTCTTCCGAGTGTTGCGACTTCGTAGCAACTAACACTTGAGCGTTGCTAACAAGCCGAGGATTCGTGAGCATCCAGCCGTTGTCCAGCACCCAAGAACCATCACTCGATCGAGACGTTAGTGCGTCTTCGGATTTACTGCCACCAAGTCTGGAAGGCAGCGAAGTCCGATGAGAAACATTAGGAACCGCGATCTTCTTCACCACGTGGCATACTCCTTTCTTGATAACGTAAAGCTGCTTCACCACCTCGCCAGCTTTCAGTGCGTCTTTATTCGGATCGACGAGCTTTGATCCCGAAACTGCAGCGAGAGCTGCCAGCATCTCTTCGGAACACGTTCCGAAAGCGTGACAACGGTGCAGGAATTGCAGGCGTTCTTCCAGCACTCGCTCCTCGTGTTCCCTCAAGATATTTAAGTAAACATCCACGTCCAGCAGCATGCAACTCACCTCACCCATGCAGGAAAAAGTTGCTATTTCTTTCGGTCGTAGCGTACTCTGGACGGCTCGAGCTGTCGAACCGAAGCTATTGGGCTGAAAGCCTTTCGGAAGGCGCATTGACGCCATTAGTGGAGAACTAATTGAGCCAATACGAGGACGCAGCATTTGTTGGCGCTGTGCTCGATTTCGGAGCATGACAAGTCGGCCGTCAACATTAGTCGCGCTCGACGGCTCGAGTCCGATCGTATCACCTTGATAGAGTGTGCTTAGCTCCCGTAAACTTGGTCCTTGAAACTTGACAGTCTTCACTAAAGACGCCACAGCGTCCAGTACAACGTGAAAACTTGACGAAATTTTTCCTTGTTCGACAACAACCTGATCATTCTCGAAACGATAATACGTGGCGTTCCGCATACACCGCTCGATCATAGCAGGTCGCATGCCTCGAAAGAAACCCCAACAGCGAGCTAGACGTGCTGCCTCAACCACATCGGCATTATTACGTGTTCTTCCTGGACTCTGCTTTAAGAACTGTTCGAGCCAAGCTTTCGTACTGCTCTCTTGGGCTTCGTATGCCAACGCGGCCGACGAATTCGTGGGTTGGACAGGAGTACACACGGACTCTAATAGGAGCGTCTGGTTCGTATCCGTAGCCTGTGCTGTCGGATGACGAAGCGTATCAAGCCAAGAGTAGTCGAGGATGGCTTCCTCAAATTTACCCATTTCCTTGAGAACTCGAGCTCGACTTTCGACAAAAAGGGGATTTTTCGAGTCAAGTTTCAGTGCCTTGCTCAAATCCTTGATCGCTTCGGCATGCTTACCTAGTTTGTACAAGGCACAGCCGCGGTTGTAAAGTGCAGACGCAGCATGATCTGGATCGCTGCGTGAACACTCTAAGAAATCTTCAGCAGCTTGAGCGTATTGGTGCAAGCGGTAATACGCGTAACCTCGACTGTACTGCATCGACACGGAATGCTGAGCGCTGGAGATGGAGCCTCCACCTCCCATTTGCAAGTTTAATGCACCAAGTGCATTGTAACTTGGCGTAGATACTTTTTTCTTCAAGATCTGCGTCGACTTGGCGACAATCTCTTCAAACACTTTGAGAGATCGATGAGTCACATTCCGAGCAGATAAATCGGCGTCCTGCACAGTAAGTATAACGTCAAAACACTTTTTCTGCGAAAGTACAATAAGGGTTGACTCACTGTGGACAGCTTGCCTTCGATTGGAGCCAAACATTGCAAAGGAATGGATGGAAGTGGGCCCAGTTGACCTCGAGCAGTGGCCTTGCTACCACTAACTACCGCTGATGGTTGAGGCATTGAGCATGTCAAGAAAGCTCATGTTCAGGTTCCAAAACTTCTATTTTGAGAAACGCGAGAACATTTTTTTTTCTTAGCGACATGATGTATTACAATGGTTTTGATGACATTTATGAAAACTACGAAGTGGATTCAGTTGGCCGCGCCGATTTCCTTAAGTCTATCGGCGTACCTCAACGTATTGAGCGTGTGGTTGCAGCTTTCTGAACAAGGCGAAATCGTGGCGATCATGATCGTCTTGGAATTCTGCGAGAGGAAGCTGTCCCGGAGAAGTTGTGTAAGTTTACTTTGTCGAAACGGAATGTGGGTTGCACCTCGATCCAACGCACGGATACATTCCTTGAGTGCTAACAGGCTCTTGTTGATCTCTGCTCCTTCCATCCTTGTATTCTTCTTGTCGCTCTGCGTGTTACTCGCACGCTCACTACCAGCCAGATCAACCATTGACAGTCGTGCCAATGCTGCATCATTGTTGCCTTCAGCATACAACGTCACTCGAAGTAGAGCATGAGAGCGAGATGAATCATCGTGGACGGCATTAGCACTCGTGGCTCGAGCCTGTTCTCCACGTTGAACCAGTTCAAGCAGCTCATCAGCATTCGTAGCGGGCAGTTCTTTCAGTCCCATCAACTGTACAGCGCCGTCTCCGTCCTCCATGAGCTGCACTCTTGATCGTCCATTGAGCAAGTCGTTAACGCTATTCATATAAATCTCATAGAAACTCACCCCCGCGGTGATACGAGCTTTACGACTCGAAGTCTGTACCTCTTCAAGATGATGAAATAAATCCACGGCAGCTTGCCGATAGATAGATTTCATCGTATACGTCTTGCCCGAACCAGTTTGACCATACGCAAACACCGTAAGACTGGTCGTATCGCTTGAACCGGTCGCTTCAGAGACGAGATACGGTATCATCGGTCCAACCGTGGCGTCGTAGATCTTACTGTTCTCTTGCCACTCATCGAATACCCCATCAAAGCGGAACTGATGATTCTCCAGCGTCTCAGAGCAATCCACGCGGAGTTTTGGTTCATGACACACAAGTTCTCGACGCAAACGCATGGTATTGTCGTTTTTTTCATCGTCCGAAGCGAATAAACACGAGACGATGTCGTATCCCTTTTTCTTCAGCTCTTTCTTGGCAAGAGGACGTTTCCGAATAAAGACCGAGAGTCTTGGGGCTTTGGCGGCATCTACTAACGTTGTAGGTGTCGGTGGTGGCTGTATGGATGCAGTTAATGACAATAAAGGTAATTGTTGGAGTGTTTGTTGTTGCTGTTGATTGGGAGGCAGCGCATCGCGATACTGCCGAATTAACCGTCGAAATTTATAACCTGCATCATCACCGTGTTCTCGAAGTTCTTTCTCAACTCGACGCTTCTCCTCAGCCTGTTGAGCACGACGAGCTTCTCGTTTGCGTTTAATCTCGTCCAGTACGTTCATTGTCGACTTTTTCGGCTTTCGAGATAGGTTAATTTCTTTAACCTGTCTTTGACGATTTAACTTCACAGACTCGTTATCCTGTTTGCGCTCTTCGGTTAAGCTGTCTCGTGATACTTCTCGATGTATCCTGTCTCGATCTGAGTGGAGAAGACGTGGAGGCGAGCTTGGAGTTACAGGGCGATGCAGTGCAGCTCGTCTCTTGTCAGCAGACGACAGTCGTAATGGGTTAAGTGGACCGTGCTCAGCTTTTGGACGCGGTGAAATTGATGCTGAGGATTCTCTTGATGAAGATTTGAGTTCGCTCGAGCGTTTTATGGGTGATTGGACCTTGGGTAGCTCGGTCAATCGACCTGGAGGGGGCAACTCAGGAGGTGACTGGGTTCTGGGTGGGGGTGGAACACTCTTCATTCGTGCTCGCCGCTTTGCAAACGGGTCCATGATGGCACGTTCTTTCCATTTGTTGGAAGGTGGTGGCGACCAGTCTTCATTGTTGTCATCATCGGGTGCGTTTTTCTTCCAACACCGGAAGAATTGACCTCGTAGAGGCGGTCGACGTTGAGGAGATCTTACCTCTTGCTGGTTTGTTTCACTACCACTTCCACTGCTGGTCGGCTCGTCTTCTTCGTTCACTTTTGTCTCAATAGACGATTTGGAACCTGCTCGGGGACTTGCTAGTTTCTTCACCCTAGCATTTTGATCTTGTGGCTCAAGTTCGGTTTGTTGTTTTTCAGTTGATTGAAGGATTTCGGGCTCATCGTTTTCATGGCATTGCTGGTTTTCACCGGCGTCTGGAACTCTGGCATCGAGTTGCTTCAACTGCATGAAGTATGGTCGAGGTTTTTTCCATCCTGCAGGTTGTGGCACACTTGGAAAATGTGTTTCTGTATTCTCCTCACGACTATCACGTCGCTTTTGTGAAGTTTGATTGAAGCCTGCCCACGGCGGAAGAGAAGGTAGAGGAGGAGTGGCACGCTTATCCTGTAGATGCCAACTTAGGCCGTTTCGACCGTCATGAGTCCGTAGCGATCCTACCATCGCATGTCCTGTCAAACTAAAGTCTCCAAGCTGCTGATGCAGTTGACGTAGAGAGCTCCGACTATCCATGTCGTGCGGTGAGGTGTCACTTAGACGCAGCGTGGAGCTGGCGGGCATTCCCAAGTGCTGGAAACACGTTGAAATTTACGACAGATCTCTTTCTCGAGCGATTCTGAAATAAAGCGTCGTTTCATCCGATAGGATAGCAACACTTCATCTTATTATGTGAATTCGAAAATCCGTAAGTAATTTATTTCTTTGAAATAATCTTAGAAAACAATTTTGCCGAAAGTGAAGGACCTGGATCATTTAATTGTCAAGCGTCGCAGATCTTTTGGCATGGCATCGATCCAGGATAATGAAGGCCACGTCAAGTTCGACTTGCATATTTCGACAAAGAATGAGCTGGTACCTGAAGATCGAGCGGGAGAGCGGGATGATAGCGAGGAAGAAGAATTATCAGTCATCTCGAGTCCAACGAACCAACCTGTGGTCTCCGCGTTGTCCGAGGAGACTATGACCTCACTAACCCAGATATTCGAGACATTGTATCTGGAACATCCGCTTAAAGTTTCCAAAAAGGCTTCACGAGATGAACGCCGTGACCGGGAATTTATTTCCATGAGTCTCGTGTACGGCGAGATCGCCTTCGAGCCGTTCAAAGTTGTTCTGGACGTGTTGAAACGCTGGCACCACGTGCTAAACAAACCAGGGGGTATTTTTCTCGACATCGGATCGGGAAGTGGCAAAGCGGTCTTCGCTGCCGCTTTGTTACACGACTTTGACGCTTGTTACGGCATCGAAGTGCTCGAAGGTCTTCACTCCATTTCTCAAGAAGTTTTACAACGCTGGGAGAAAATTATCAAGCCAAATTGTGCACTGCCCTTGCAAAAAAAGCGAACGAGAATTTCGTTCACTCGGGGAGACGCTCTCACTATGGACTGGCCAGCCAATGCAGACGTGGTTTTCCTCAATTCGACGTGTTTTGGCGAACGATTGATGTACGCATTAGCGAGAAAACTCGCGCTGTGTTGCAAACCTGGAGCAATTGTCATCACGGCCACACACAAGCTACCAGATACACAGAATTTCGCTGAATTGAGGCACCTCACAGTCACTCAGGAAGCGTGGGGAGACGCTACGTGGTATCTGCATCGCAAGAAATGACAAAAAAAAGCTTTATACACATTTGCTAACGGAGGTCTAATATACGGCTATGAACAAAGTTCGCCGACTCCCGTTTTGTCCCGAACTTTACGTGGCTCATACTGCTTAATTGTTGGTTTGTATGCGACCACAGGTGGGGCATTCCAACGACTCGTTGAGTTTCGGTACGATGCATTCGTCGTGGAATTGGTGGCCGCAACTCAACGTCGTCAAGTAATACGTCGCAGCTCGTCGTCGACTGGCACTTCGTCGAGAGCCACTGAAGCTATTGGCACTCCCACTGCCGTTCTTCTTCTGGTTCCCCAGCCATGGGGGCGTGAACACGCCACCGTTCGATCCATTGCTGTTAATGGACCGGTTGCTGTCATTATCCGAACTGGAGATGGTAAGACTGGACGAACTACCGTTGGCCACACCACACAACGTGGAGCCGCAAATCCCACAGTCGCCACAATTCAGATCGTTCACAATGTCGTCGTCCGTCATAGATCCTCGGATCGAGTTGGTAAGCGACGATTGTCGACTAAACTGTCGCTCGGATTCTCGTTGAAGTAGTTGCAACTTTTGAGGAGTTTCCGGTGCTTCCCAATGCGAACTGTAGCCCTCACTCCTCCTCATCTCGTCGTGTATCTCCGACTTTATTGGGTTTTCCAGTCCGTACTGTTGCAATGCGTCGCCGTAGATGAATTCCACCAACTCGTCTGCAAACACTGTCATAACTACAGAGCAGCAGAAGTTCTTGCGGTCCGTTAAGAACCCGTATAGTGCCGCGAAGAACCTCTCGAGTGTTTGTTTGCGCTGCTCGACCACGCGAGAACTTGAGAAGGTGAAGACGATCTTCTTGGGGAAATAACTCTTTAAGAACCCGTAAAGCCATGGACAATCAGCGTCGCAGAAGTGACCGTGCTGGAGTTTCTTGAGTAGCCGTTGCTGTAGTTTGCGGTACTCGTCGAAGGATCTGGCGAGCCGCCAGGCCACGTTGAGCTCCTGATGCCGCACTGTCATGACGTACCGCACGTCCGCATGTTTCTTTGTCACGGACATTTCCAGAGCCACTTGTTCCAGGTATTTAATGGCAGGCGGGACTTGAGTGTCTTCCACTTCATTGTCAAACCCGTTGCTCTTCCGGCCGCTCAAGCGGAGGCTCCGGCCGCTGCCACTGGGTCTGCTACTGGCTCCGACCATCACTCCTTCAGTTAGAGAGCGCTTGCGAGCGCTGGTACTGGCGCGGCGACGCTGACGGTGCGCCAATGCCATTGATAATTCCGGAGAATACATCATGGCTGGTTGGACGTTGATGACCACTGCAAAACGGGGCGTAATCTGCTGGACGGACGCAATGAGATGGATACACTCGCGGTTCTTGCCGTTATTTTTAGGCTAGTGCTACAGCGAGGAGGCAAGTTGTCAAGAGAATTCCTCGCTCGCCTTAGCGTTCGCGGTCCTGGTGAAGGGAAGCTGAACTGAGCGGCTGGTTTTCTGTGTGTCTGACACTGGAGGGATTGCTGCGGGGAAAGAAGGGAAGCTGTTTGCGGCTGCATCAAGGAGAAATCGTTGTGGAAAGGGTATTTATTTAGAGGGATTTTTGGGTATTGCATGCTGCGTTTGACAGGACTTCTGGAAAGACTGGTAATTGATTGTGAGAGGTGTATGCGATTTTGGATAGCGGTTCTGTGGTAAACATATCGATTAAGAAAGACAAGAGATGATGGGATCGTCGCATCGTGCAGCAAGGAGAGACATATCAGGTTTTAAAGGGGATACATAATGGTACCAGTGTTGCCAGTGCCAATTTGCAGTAGGGTCTTGCCAATGCGATGAAGCATTGTGTTTCACTGCACTGCTCGATGACCCAAAAAGCACATCAACACTAGAGCGTGCTTGATGACGAAGAAGACCGTTAAAAGTTCCTTCGAGTATTATTAAATTCAAAAAGTGCCATTTCAATTTCAGCAGATAAAGGATCGCGTTACAATACACAAAATGATTGCTACCATTCGTCGAATCTCTGCTGGAAGTTCGTGTGAACGCGTCTAACAGCTCCTAGTAATTGACTTGGAGCCGTGATGTCTACCGAAAAATAGTTGATTAAATCGGAAGAATTAGACACCTTTTTTCTTAAAATAATAAGTGCCCAGTACTCGTATACGAATAAGTTACGAAGACACTTAACGATGCACCGCGCTAGTTTTGTTGCTCTTGTCCCTTTCGAATAATCAGCCCAGCAGCCAGAATTGCTGATCTTGAATCGCCTATGCTGTGTTAATTTATACCATGGAACCTTGCTCTTAAAACATTAGCCTTGTCGCGAGATATCGATTGTTTTGGAAGGAAAAAAATCAGAGAAGCAACAGAATGTTGTAGATTATTAAATATTCAATGGCAGTTGAACTTTGTTTTGTCAGCGAGTTGTTGCAGGTATGTTGCAAGATCTAAAACGGCACCCAGCCTGCCAAACAAGTCATCGAACTGCGATTACTACAGGTACTACCAAAGCGTAAACGATAATAGCTCTGTGTCACGATGAAATCAGATGGAACGCGAAAAACTTCAGCCGCTGTAGTCCCATGGCATCCCAAATTCATAAACAACATATTGTCATTGAATAGCGCTACAATATAAAACAAACTAGATTGCTTGCGCTTAGGCTGGGAGGGCTATTAAATAAGCTCTCGAAATACACTTTTTGTATTGCAAAACCTTAGCGCTTTCGATGAAAACAGAACTCTTTAACGAGGGCCTTGCAGTTTTCCGCTTCAATAATGACTCGAATTTCCCTGCTACCGTGAAATGGATCCGAACAGGGCAGCAAAGACCGGTACCAGTGAAGCTGTTACTGACAAAAAGCGATGGCAAAGTTATGAGCGCAGTAATCGGCTTCGCGAAGCTGATTAATGCGCTTATTCTGCGGAGAAAAATGTTAGCGTTTGCGGCATTTTGATATACTTTAAGGCCTCATTATGCACTCTGGGCTTACTGTACCACGTCGGTCAGTTATTCTTCTGCCTAGTCGATGGTTCATTCAAGGCTCACCAAGCTAGATAATTGTATCCAGTACCCGTATATACTTCACTGAGTTCCTCGGCGCCTACCGCTGAACGTCAAAAGGGGTTAACCTATACGGTGTACAAAGATAATATGTAGATTCTGTAGGCTACGCCTAATTGTAATCTTCTGGTGGTCACCTTGGGCTAGCTGCTCTCAAACAGCGTTGTCTTAGATATTTTGCAGTATAACTGGGAGATTTTCGACTCGAAAACGCCGACTGGCAATTTTCCGTCGAAGGATAACTTGATCAATTTCTGGGCGAGTGAGACTTCCTTTATGGTCGTGGTTTGCACCCGTACGCATTGAGTCATTTGTACTTGAATAGTACATGTATTTGCCAGTTCTCGTTGACGTAAATGCGTTAGGGCCTGGCCATCATAAGGTTAATACGTTATCATCCCGCGGCACGCGCGACAAGTTGAACGAAGGTCGTCCAAGCAGAATGTTCCTTGAAGGTCTCCTAATGTTACCTGTAACTCAGTCGACATTTTTGGAACGATATAATGTTTGTGATGCCCCACAGGATACTCCGTATCCCTACTGTTGGTAGCTAGCTTTCCCAGCCTACGTGTGGCCTAGTTTATTTGCTCGCAGTATGTCTTTGGACGCAAGCCGTCTATCCATTTGCCATTATCACTCATTCTTGTCTCTTTGTGTGCAGTATTTGGAAGATTTAGCGAGTGCTACGAGTAGTACCGTACTCTTTCTGTGATTAATGACGTTCACTTATTACAGCCAATCAAGACTCTCTAAATATTGTACCGTTGTAGTTTATGTGCTTAATGACACCTTACAAAATGCAAAATAGAAACAGACTTCACAAGGAAAGATCACTATTTTTGTTTAGAAATAGGCAATGTTTCATGCCATTATTAGTCACAGAAGGAATATGGTACGCACATGTAGTACCGTATTCCTAACAAATGAACGGCTAACGAATGAGACATGGCTGATGTTCCTCAGCACACATTTTACGCACATGGGATCACTCAGACCACATCGATAGCAGGAAATGTATGGAATCCGGTACATAAATAAAGGAAATTGGTTATGATAATGCTTATGATATAAGTTTTAAGTAGACCCGAAATCAGTCGCAAAATGCTCCGCACGCTCCAATGCTTAGTTCGAGTAGATAGCATGGGTCGCGTTGTGCAGGTAGATATTTGGGATTGCCCCCGTTTCCTGACAATTATACCATACCCCCCCCCCTCCTTGTAAATACATCCATACTTAAGTTCCTTATAATTCATTGTCATCAAGCTGTAAATTTCAAAGCTTGGTTATGGATAGAGAGGTCGCGGTAGACCTCCTTAACCTTTAGGGTACAAACCGTACCTCCCCTCCTGTTCCAACCTCCCGGACCTCCATCCAACCTCCCCAACTTCCACCAATTTCAAATATGGCCTCATAATGAAATCTAGTTTAAGTCGTGAAGGTAATTAGCGAGCAAATCCAAATTGACGCAGTGTGAGGATGGAAGTTGGGTGACATCGACACCTCAGCAAGCTACCAGCAGCTCCGATCGACGAGCGTACACGGCTGGTCACCCGAGACAAACTTCACGAGGATTCACGTCGACGACCACCGAGGTGGGAAGCGGCATCAGCATAACCACACAGGCATCCAGAGCTCGCTGATACCTAGTCAAGATGGCCAACACCAGTCACGGAGTGCTGAAGCGAACTCCCAGATCGCTACTACTCATCAACAGCTTCAAAGTGATAGAGTGCGGGGCGGTGCTGGTATTGCCTCCGTGCCCACTGAGGTAGCAAGAAATATCCAACCAAGTTTCGGCGAGTAGTGGACGGAGGAAATTGAATATTGGGCCAAACCGCCCCTAAGATGCACTCTACCCAGAACACCACCGAAACGGTTTACGATGTCAAATGCACGGAAGCCACATCTTTGGCAATTTATTAAGCTAGCAGCTCACCCAGACCATTGGGCAGAATCACGTTTGGAAAACAAGCACGCATCTTTCGCATATTGTAAGAGGTGTGAATGGGCAATTGGGTTTACCAATGGTAACAGTGGTGTAACGAGACACATGAAGAAGTATCCTGGCGATGTACTCGCAAGTTCTGGCGAGGTAAGAGATGGTATCAATCGAGATCTCGAGTTAGCGTTTGACGACGCTGCTGGTAGCGATTCTACCCACTCCCATGAACCCCGTGTCATAACAGCTGAGCAACAAGATCATATTAACGCGCTACTAGCGAGGTGGACCGAAGGTCATTATCGATCATTACTTATGATTGAGGATGTCGGGTTTACAAACTTTGTCCGTTATATTACTGAAGAACTTGGTGGCTTCAAGGTTCGCGTTCCAAAGCGAGCTCAGCTACGTGATAAGATCGTCCAGCTCGCAGAGGATCTAAGACGACAGGTAACACAGTCAATCACCCGCTCGTGTTTGTTCTTCTCGATAACGAGTGATATCTGGTCTTCGCAAAACGCATGTTCCTACATCGCGTTCACAAACCACTACGTCACTGAGAGTTTTGACTCAGTAAATTGGACGCTCGAAGTCAAGGAGATTCCTGGAAAACATGATGGGACCGTATCCAAAGCAACTGAGCTGGAAGAAATGATGGAGGATTGGGATTTACGGAAAGAGCGTTGCAGTCGATTTGTAGGGGATTCTGGTTCCAACATTGTTGCATCCGGTTGACAACTAGACCACGCAGCATGTATTGCTCACGAAATTCATCTCATTTTGTTGACTGTACTTAAGAAGAAGAAGAGGCCTCCAGAACAGGGCCGAGAAGCTTGGGAAATTGCCGTGGAAGCTGAACCAGATGCAGTATGTACTGAATACGAAGGAGATGACGAACTGTCGGAAGCAGACAGAGAACAGATGCAGACTCTGCGAGATGACATATTGGAGGAGATGGATACTTTTGTTAACACTGCTGTGGAGGATGTCGAAAAAGATCAGCTGGCTGAAATGCGTGTCAACGTGTAGAAGTTTCGTAGCTTGGCAGTTTATTTCCGGAAGTCACCGAAGGCTCGGAACAGATTAGCCTTGCTGCAGACCGAGAAACGAAGGATTCCAAAAAAGGAAGTTGTAAATCCTGTTGATGATTGCCCAACAGGGTGGAATAGCTGTTACGATATGCTCTGTCGCTTCATCAATCTCGAGAAACCTATTGGAGATTTTTTTTTGTGTATCTACCAACACCAGAAGGGCGTATCGAATTTGCAGACGTGCAAAATCAATTGACGAGACCAATAGCAGCAGACTGGTTGGCTATAAAATGCCTCGTGGAAATTCTAGCTCCATCTGCGTCGGTGTCCACGATGCTGGGAGGTCACTCCTAACCTACGCTCCCATTAGTTCTACCGGCGTTTAGTGGTCTCCGAAAAAGACTTCTGACAGAATCGCTTCTTGCAGAGCACGAAAAATCTTGTCGGAAGAGAGATGTACGTTGATGCCGCGATGCGGTCGTGCGCTTATTTGATGCGCGTTTCGAGAGGTTGGAGCGAACAGAGCTGCTGTGGGTCCGTCTGTTAGACCCTCGGATAGCAAAATGGATGGGATACTTGCCAGATAAAGAGAAGAAGAAGCTAGCCCGGCTGAAACTCATTGGCGCTCTTGTTGACATGGTACGTGCTGAACCCCCACCGATTCCTGACGATCAGCGTGGTAGTACGTTTTCGCCACCTTCCGCTTTAAAGGCACCAAACGATGTTCAGATAAAACATCACATCTTCGGCCCCAACCCACGCAAGCACCGCCAAATCTATCTGAAAAAACTTGTGAGACAGAGTACGACCGCTACCTAGTTGCCCTTAAAGTTGCCGACGAAACCTCGCCCGAGTTTGTGGATCCCGACACGAATCCTTTGACGTGGTGGAAGAAGAATCACGCGAAGTACAATAATCTGGCAATGTTGGCTCGAAACTGGTTAGGGGCAGTAGCAACAAGTGTTCCCTCCGAACGAGCATTTTCAATAAGTGGTAACATTGTTACAGTCAAGAGAACTTCATTGGCGCCCGACTTAGTGCGCGACCTTGTTTTTATAACGGAGAATATGCGACGTCAAAATTATTCATCGGTGATAATTTAGGAATGTGATGAATACTGAGGTTCACCGCCGGCAAACGAGCATCACCGGGGGTAAACGAGCTTCACCGTCGACCTACCACCCTCACCATCGACTAACGAGTATCACCACCCACCAACGACCGCTACCGCCATCTTAAGCCCTCCACAACCAACCAATGAGCATTACCGCCGAACATCGGCGTCTAAGCACCTCCATTAGATCATGATGAATGCTGAATCGTTTCAGAATGACCATGGTGGTGAAACTCGAAAATATTTGGATTGCTTCTTACTTTCTTAGGTCGATTTGCTTCTATACTTTATGAATGACCAGCAATATTCGTCGAAATACGTCGCTGTAAATCTGCTGCCATCAAGTTAGTTATATCAATTTTCAATCTGTGGCTCGGTAGCACATCGTTTTGAGTTTTGAAGTAGCGATGTCTCCTTTAAGTAGAACAATGTTTTTTTTCCCATTATGTCGAGGTTACTGCCGCCAGGCACTACGATGAGTGGGCGTACCAAACTTCAGCTTCGGAAGTGTATTCATCAGCCAAATCTACCTTTTTCAAGTGTAAAAAGGTCACATCAAGCAGTTTTTCTCGAGCGTACTTTCGTCGGAGCGTGTGCTGCAGTACTACATGCGTGGCGTGCAACACGTAATTGACGGTCACAATGGAGCGAATGTCTACTCAAGACACCATGGAAGGCGCGCGCAGAGTCCACAGCGAGCACGGGCCCGTGGTAGAATTTTACTACTCGGAAGAAATATGATACCACACAGAGTTACTTTCAATACTGCACTAGGAGCGGAAGTAACGACTGCCCAAGACGATGACGGCGATTTTTTTTTTCAAGACAAAATGTCCATAGTGAAGAAGAAAATTCTAGCTATGCCGACTTGAATTTGAGAAGAGATCCCGACAATAGCAGTGAAGCAGGCAGTGATCCCGATAGTGGTCCACGTAGTGATCTAAACAGTCCCAGCGACGATAGCGATGATGGCGGAGAATCTGACCTACAAGTAGCTGAATTATCAGACGGTGAGTATTACTGCATGCTGGATCAACTGAGGTACAGTCGGCGTGGTCATCTTACTGCTCGGGCGAAATGGAAGCAATCAAGTATTCCAATTCAGTTCGTGAGATAAGCTGACAGAATTACTGGCGATAAGAGACGTCGCGACCAGCGAGCCGCTCGCCGCTCACTTCTCCGAGACTCGAGAGCTTAATCGCTAACACAGCAATACGTACCAAGTTCTGATGAACCAAATGCTGTTTGCGTCGCAATCTTCCATTGCAGTTTTACCTAAAAGGATGCAGCCCAAAATGAAAAAAAAAAACTCCATTGCAAAAGAGAACTCGAGCCGGCAAGTAATCCTGTTCACCTCGTTGTTGTAGCCTTAGAGTGTAATGACGTCCATAATAGTCGTCGCTTCCACTTTCTGGTGCACCTTGATGTGTGGGGGTAGATGGCTACACCAGCGACCACCGTCACAGCTGCAACAACCGCAGCAATGACACCCGCTGGAGCGCCACTGGCTCCGTGCCTTGTACCGACGACGAAACCGTATTACTGTCCGCTGCAATATAGCAGGGTCTACGATCCACTGCCACCGCGTTGTCGCCGCCAATATCACCATGGGCTCCATTGCGTCCAGTGCCATACTTGGTCGGGGCTGGAGTTAAGCTGCCGTAGTTTGTCGGGGCCCGTGTTAGATTGCTGCAAGGGATGACGCAGCCATAGGTTCCGGTATGAATGACCGTTACGGCGCATATATGAGGAGAACGCACTTGCCACCTTCACCATAGCTGGCCGAGTACGTGAGGTAGTCAGCGATGGCTGCGTCACAATGACCCGATCGGGAACGGACCTGAGTCGCTGCAGATGGGAACGTCGATGCAGTACGTGGCGTCGTGCTCGACGATAATGGGCCAACAGCCAAGTTCGTCGTCATAGTAGTGCTCAGTGGCAGTCCTACTCGTCGTCACCATTGAACACGGTGTTGAACACGATGTTGAAGCTGGAGTTGTTGGTCTCTTGGTCGCCGGTGCTGGAGTTACTGCGGCACGTGTGGGTGTTGGGCTGGGTGGACTTGGCTTTGCTGTCGAAGTTACTGTAGCTGCTTGGGTGGGGCTTGCCGTAGTCGGCTTTGCTGTGGTAGACACTGCCAGACACTGTTTCGTCGGCTTTGGTGTTGTTGCAGTAGGAGTCATAGAAGGTAACGAAACTGTTTGCCATGTCCGGTTTTGAAATTATGTACAAAACTAATGCCTTTCCTGCTTGTTGAGGGCATTTCGCTTTAAACGGATGCCGGTATTAAGGATACAAGCTTCTGCCTCAGCTCGCATAGCCAACAAGCACCTAGCTAGACTCCTCTTAAAAAACTTTTTAAAAATAGTTTTTAGAAAGCACATTTTTAATGTTGCTTTTTAAACTTTTTTTTTTGCAAAAAATATCCAGAGCTTCCCGGGCAGCGCACGAACCTCCCGCAAACCTGCACCTCCGTTGTACCTTCGCGTATGTTGACTGATCCATAACTTATGGAATCCATAATGGATCATGGAGGCAGCATACGGATCGTTTCCCCATCCAATGATAAGCCGAAACCGTTGAATGTTGGCGCCAGATTTGGTCGCTTCACTTGGCAAACCTCGGTCTACACCTCAAACGTCCAGTGTGTGAGTCCATGCGTCCATGCTGCCTGTGGTTGGGACTGCTTGCTTCCACTGTACTGTTGGCAACTACCGAAGCTGGCTTGGCGTCAACACAAGCCGCGATATTCCCTCCTGATACCCTGACCACTGGGTCGATTACAACGAGCCGGATCTTAAAGCTCAACGACGATTCTGACTTTAATGGTAACGAGGAAGATAAGCATGGTAACGAAGAGAGAGGAGCTAGCACATCTGTCGTAGAAACACTTACCAACTTACTGAAGTCCCCCGTCAGTCTACAGCTCGACGACTTGCTTAAGAAAGGGGAGTCTGCAGACGACGTTTTCAAGCTCTTTACTCTGGACAAAGCCGCCGATAGACTGTTGGCCAGTCCCCACTGGGACGAATGGATCAGCTACATGAAGAGGTTTAACAAGGTGAACCCAACAAAGAGAACAACGGTGATAGATACACTCACGAAACACTACGGGGACAAAGGTTTGGCGAGAATCATTGAAGCAGCGAAACAGGTCCGAGCTACTGCAGGTCTTGCCAAGCGAGTGCAGACCGAGCAGATCCAACGTTGGTTGCTTGCTGGGGAGACTCCAGAGAGTATATTTACACTGTTAAAACTTGACGATGCAGGAGAATCTCTATTCACCCAATCTCAGGTTGTCACGTGGGCGAAATTCTTGGACGATTTCAACAAGGCGGACCCGACCAGTGCGACGACTTTATTCTCGTTCCTGAAGTCTCGCTACGACGAAGATGTTTTCGTCAAGATGCTCATAGCAGCGAAGAATGTTCCGAGTACGGAGAAAATCGCAATTCGAATTCAAGCCGAGCAGACGGCCCTCTGGCTGAAAAACAAGAAAGAGCCAGCGGATATTTTCAAATTGCTGAAACTTCAAGACACAAAGCTCCCGCTTTTGGAGAACCCACTGTTTATTGCTTGGGTGAAGTACACAGATGATTTCCGCAAGATTCACTTTGGGACGAAGCTCACGACGATCTCGGTGTTGAGGGTTTTTTTATAAGGACGACGTTCTGGCAGAGATGATTCTTAAAGCCAGTAAGTTTCCAAGTACGTCGGATATCGCGAAACGATTGTTTACAGAACAAATGCGGAACTGGTACATCAATAAATTTGCCCCCGACGACGTCTTTAAGCTGCTAAAGCTTGACCAGATAGAGATCCCGCTATTTGAAAGCTCAATGTTCAGAGTTTGGACAAAATTCAGGAATTACTATAGCGACCTGAGGCCAACAGAGGACGTGAGCCTGCTTACGGTGTTGGCGAAAGTCTATGTCGGCAAAGAGCAAGATTATATCACGATCATTATTAATGCAAGGAAAACTCCACAAACGGAAAACTTTGCAACGCAGCTACTAAAAGATCAACTCAAGCGTTGGTTGGAAGCCAAGACGGATCCAGTGAGCGTTTTCATATTCCTGGGTTCACCAGGAGCAAAACAAAAAGACGTGAGGAGGACACTTTATGAAAACTACCGTCGCGACTTCTCAAGATTACCCAAAGAAAAGAAGCCTCCGGCTAGGATAAAGCCCTAAACTGCAATACTACGCAGAACAAAATTGAATTCTGGAGGCCTCTAAAACAGTTTACTGTGATTTACGACCCATAAGACAAGCATCTTAAAGTACTTTTTGTCAGACTAGAGCAAAGTTAACGGAATGTTTTGTCTTGACACTTCTTGGACTTTGAAGCTGATAATCCAAGAAAATAAGTACTTAAGCACATCGCTTACACAGCACTCAAACAGGAACGCCACACCTTGTTGATTCTCCAGCCCAGCTTGCAGAACATTTTGGCTGTTTAAAAATCTATATGTATAAGTTGCTAACGCCTCCCCTCACTTCACTTTGGGGTACCGTCAACCACCTGTTCACAGAGCTGTCACGGGCTGTTCACTGGCTGAGCGTGTGTCAGCCAATCGAAGTGGTGAAATTCGTATAGGCTGCTCTGTAGCCACCACTTTATTAGTGGGCTGTGTCAGTAGGCTATTTTAGAGGATGCAGTATGCTAGATATATGACAGGGCGCAGGATTTGAAGAGGTGCCCTGCCAGCTCGGCTTAACACTGTTCAAAGAGCCCCGCTTAGCGGGGCTCCGCTCAGCTTGTTGCTACATAATTTGGCTCGATTTGGACCATTCTGGTTGGTTCAGTTTGATTATCTATCCAATCAGCGACAGATCCGCGACACAACCCTGAAACGCCCAAAAATTGGGCTTCCTGAAGTTTAGCCTGAAAGCGCCCCTTTTTCAGATTCCATGTAGTTTATCAAACGGCACCAAATTGCACCGGGATCGCTCGAATAACAAACCACCAGCGCGCTCAGATGCTGGCCCACACACCATAGCTTGGCGTCGTCTTCCACATGAAAGAGCAATGCCTCCCCAATGTTTAAGGTAGTTGCGAAGATTTGAAGAAAAAAAAAACTCGCCCCAACCTTTTCGTTAGTATCCGTCGTTTAATTTTTATTATATGACAAACTCTGTCACAAACACTAAGTACCACACATTCTAACATTCGAAGAAAACGAGAAGCGCACCAAGAACTAAGACTCGTGCTCAGCCGTGTAGTTGTAGTAAATCTGGTTTTCGTACTCGGAACCGCAGTAGGGGAACTCAGTGTCATCATTAGTCGGGGTAAACAGACTTTTGCCAGTCGTGTACGTCACGTAGCACCCAAGAACGAAGCACACCACGGTTACAATTAGAGCCGCTGCCTTTTCGTAGATAGGAATGGTTCTCCAGGCCTTCATGAGGTAAAACACGATTGGGAGCAGAATGCAGTTCGTCGTGATGCACGACGCTCCCACGAAATCCGAAAAGTCCGAGAAGTGGTCTTGGAAAATAATCGAAAGCACCACCAAAATGGCAACAATGACGACACGTAGCGCGATATACTTGATAGTGTTCTTTCCACCACGGTACTCTGCCGCCTCGGCCTCTGGGTCGTCCTTAAATTCGCGCTCGCTGTCGGCCACAGAAACGTACGACATTTTTGAGCTGCGGCGCGACTCCGTTTGGACAATTGCTGGCGTTGTTGACTCAGCGTAACCGAGACCGACCTCCATGTCTGCAGCTACTTTCTTGTGCATACCCAAAGCCAAACGCTCGGCGAGATAAAACGCTGGGTTGATTAGCACAGAGAACGCGATTGTGATATGTAGCTGCATGAACAAATAGGCCAGTACCACGGCGCCCCAGCTCGGCTTGAAACCCAGCGTGGTCATTCCGGTGCTCGAATCCGGGTAGATGGTGAACAGCAGGTTGCCCGAAATCTGGCAGCCCACGGCCGAGTACGCTGTGGAAGCAAGGATCAAGAACAGGCATGAGATGAAGCTCACCGTAACCAGCACAACACGAGGCATGCGCGTGGGGTCGCTGTGCTGACGCTGAAGGTCCGGGATGACGATACCAGCCCCATAGGCCAGAGCCAAGTTGCCGAAGCAGCCCAGCACTTGAGAGATCTTTAGATCAGGAGAGGGCACCGTAGGGTGACCACGCATGCCATACATGACAACAGCCACTCCGATCACGTCAGCGATAATGGTGCCCATGCAGCCGGCGAAGGCGGCACCAGCTCCTTCCTTGAGCGTTGGGATGAGGCATACAGGTAACACCATGAGTGCCATGAGGATGATCCACACGGTAGCGCTAAAGGCATCCGGAAACAGCCCGTCAAGGAGGGATCCACCAAGCACCAGAAAGACGCATGGAATTAGCAGGCATGATCCCATCTGAGAGATGACACAGAGCCAGCGGCCCCACTTCCCCATGCTCCACTCGCCCAAGTCTCCAAAAGTCTTGACTGACTTGGGAGCGAGCAAAATGACTTGCGACATCTTGACGGACGAGTAGATGTTGGCGAAGGCCATGAAGGCCATAGCAATGACGGCGATCACGGGACCGGCGCGCGAGAAGTTGCCGGGCATTCCCAGAGTACCGATGCCGTACATGCAGCAGAAGAGGTTGAAGGACGTCTTAGCATCCTCGAAAGTGAAGAATGGCATGGCGTAGACGACTCGAACTGAACCAGGCAAAAAGCAGAATGAAAGACACTGACAAGGTCTCAGACGCTGGCAACATGTTGCCCGAGTCTTCGTTGCTAGCGGGGGTGGGGTGGTGGGGTCTGTTCTCAGCGTCATGGTGATGGACGCCTCATCCAATCCTTCAACTAGCAAAAGTATGTGCATAGATGCATTCACAGTCCACAATGGAAACGACATTTATCAATTTATAACTAGAACAATAACGACAAATTCCCCCTCCCTGTTGTCACGGAGCTGAAAGGATTTGTGTCCAAATCAAGATCGACAACGCCTTGGTAGAATATCATGGTATTCCAGGGCCAGAAATCCTAGCAGGAACTTCTGGTCGCTCAGTGAGTGATAAATTAACCCGCTTCCTGCCCATCTTCCCAAGCCTTAATAATCGCCACATCCAATCGGTGGTTTGGACGTTTGCCCACAGAGTGATTCCAGGCCTCTTTAGTTTAAAACAATTAGTTTTATACTTTCGTTAATAGTAGCACAACCAGAGGACCACTTTACGGCAATGCCCACCAATGCAGCCAAACCATTATGGTTATCGTAGTATTCGTGTGGTGTGTCTTCAAACTTTAAAAAAATAGGTTGGTGTAAAATCTGTTTACATGCTGAAGTGTGATTGCAGATACAAAACTAGTATTATCTCGTGTTCGGCATGCAAGTCTTCATTAAAAAAATACCGACTTTTTGTTTGCCATTGAAGCGGTACATGACCTGGCGGGGAATGGTTTAATACAGTGTGTTGTTGTAGTAAAAGTTGATACTGTGTGTTGTTGTAGTAAAAGTTGATACAGTGTAGTATCAGTTTTTGTGGGTGGTTGATTGAAGTTTCTGATTTGAAGACAAAGTCAACAGTATACAGTGTACATATATTGTACATGTACGTCAACACGTTTGATACCAAAACAACCGGCTAGAATCAGATACGCTCTGTGATATTTTTCTTTCCAATTCAGACTTTGATGCTAATCAGATGTGCCTGCTAGGGAGGCACTCATGCACTAACAGAGTCAAATCGAGGGTGCCATTTCTTGAAATCTAGTGCTATACCTCGGAGATATAGCGACGTTTTCGCACGCCTTTAACGCTCATGGCTCCAAAATGCTCGATGATTCTCGATCAGCTTTAGACAGTTTGATTTGATTAAGCAGTTTACAATAGTCAATATGTTCGAGAAGGAAAGGCACTGGCCCCGAGTTCTGGAAACATGAGATGCATTTTCGTGTGCGGATGCCGCCGTTTCATAGCTACCAGAGTACTTCAAATTTGACGAATGAATTAAATAGATTCCTAACCCTCCTTGTGTTCGAACCCCCGCTTGGGGTATTGCCACCACTCATCTATTAGAGCCCCAGTACTGAATTAGGTTATGAACGTCCATCATTCTTGGCACGCCATGAGCTCTATGGCCGTAAGTTTGCCACCTTCTACCTGGCGTAGGGTCTCAGGAGATCGTGGATGAGGAGTCCCAGGTTCTCCTCTCTAACCAAGGTAGTGACATGGATATCGATGACGTCGAAATCGACTTCACAGAGAGACGCCCAAATAGCAATACTAGAGGCGATGATTGGTCTGGGAGGACAGAGACTCTTTCCATTCAGATATTAGGACATTATAGGATTTTTAAGTATTCTAATTTTGATTTGATGATACTAAGGTCAACTAGGGGGAGTGGGTGGCACGCGTAGCCAACGCAAGCCTCGCGAGGAACTCTCGAAGCTGGGTCAACAGGTATTGGCGAAGTCAAGTCCAGAAATGAGCTCCGCTTTGAGCCGCGCATTGCACAGGCCAGATGAGAGAATCACTTTTTAGGAGAGTTTCGAACATTTAGAGGAATTACGTCGAGAAAAATGTGAAGGGTTTGTTTACTACAGTAATATTGTGCTCATTGTATTTGCGGGTGCTGGCTACATGTCTTTAAAAGCTCTCCTCTTACAACTATTATCAACATGTGTTAAAGGCTTGGCTTGATTACGATCATTTTTCTAGACTTCTATAACAGAGGAATCTAAAAAGCGATAGTAATGAAACCATATTATTGCAATTGTATTAAGAAAAAGCCATGGTGACTGCTCGTCAAATGTGTACACAGATGCAGCGGCTGCGAAGCAGACGCACGAGATGCGTTAATATTATATACTTACGCACAAGCGTCACTCTTGCGGGTGAACACAAAATAGCTTTGCAAGAAGAGTATTTCAGCCTTCGTGTAGCAGTATATTGTTTGGGGTTATTTTCGCGAGAGAGTCGAAGTAATTTTTAAAATTATAAGTTTATGAAAAACAAAATGAAAATTTGATGTACCACACATCGCTTCTTCAGACAACTTTATGAAGACCGCCAGTCACAAAATATCCTTACATGTTTGTATTCGTTTTAACCAAAATCGGTGGACTATGGACTCAGGCGACATTTGCGAATTAAAGTGCTGTTCAAAGAGCCCCGCTTAGCGGGGCTCAGCTTGTTGCTACATAATTTGGCTCGATTTGGACCATTCTGGTTGGTTCAGTTTGATTATCTATC